TCTTTCCCTTTCCAGTGATTTTGCTTCATATCCTGTACCTTGGACACCCTAGGAGAACCAGATTTTTTCACTCTGGTGTCATAAGCAAGGACTTTGGCTTCCACAGTGGTGGGGCAGGGGTCAAGGGGTGTGGATAACAGGCTCGGCTTTCTTTTTTTCTTGAGGCTCACAGGTATTTTGACAAATAATATCTTTTCATAAAGCTAAAGTCACTCCAGCTGCTGTTCAATGCAGCACAGAAGTGGGCTCCATGCTGCAGTGAAGAGTCTCCATTAACCCGGGGTAGCAACAGATGAAGTGGTTGCAGGGCTCAGGCTCGGCTTTCTACGTTTGCCACTAAGCAGGAAGATGACCTGAATGTTAGCCTAGCCCACGTGGGATTGGCACTAACCTTCAGCCTTTGCCAGCGTTGGCCTTGGCTGCAGGAGAGCAGGAGCCTTGCAAACTCCTGAAGTTCCCTTCTTCCTGTCTTCTCCCTGGGAAAATACGGGCATGTTTTCTGAAACCAAATGAGGCCCCCTTGGCCTGAAGAAAGGGTTTTTGTGCTCTTCCTCTTCCCTTGAAGGGGGACCAGGGAGGAATATGCCTCCCAGGGAAAGCAGCAATAGGTTTGTGCGCACAGAGCAACCACCCCGTCCACCCAGGACCCGCCCGAGAGCGTTTGCTGCCTGCTGGTATGTGCCTCTTGGCACCTCCCCTGCAGCTAAAAGCTTGTCAGCCCGGAGAGAGTAGGCCAGTAATGGTGGCTGGGAGCCTCAGGGCCAAGGCTGGGAGAAGGAGGGAAGGTGGCTAGACTGAAACTTAGGTGGCTAGGCAGAGAAGATCATGTCGGGGAGCTGTGACCCCAGCACTGGCCAGAGATCCCGGAGACCTCACTCCTGGTCTGCGGACCGAACCTGCCGAACTGGGCCGCCCCCTCTCCCATACGCACTCCTTGCACCTGGAGCCCGACCTATCGGCTCGCGTCTCCGCCTCCTTGGCTTCACAATCTCGCTGTTTGTCCCACCCTACCTGGACCCAGTATCGGCTGCGAACGCGACTGCACTATCCTTCTTGCTCGGCTCCGGAAGGCGCCCCGGAAGCCATGGGTATGTGCAGGGGGTTTGGGGTAGCTCTTCTATGTAACTGCGTGGAAATAGCGATAAAAGCCTACACCACCACCCCGCTCTCCCGCTGTCCACACGGGGCCTGGGACTCGCGCCATGGCCAGTCGGCCCTGAATGGGCTCTTCTGAGCCGCGTGCCCGCACCATCCTCCGCCCGCAGAGGTGCTGGTCCTGGCCGGATACAGCGCGCAGAAAAAGGACGAGCTGAGCCTGACGCCCGGGGACGTGGTCCGGCAGGTGTGCAATGGGCCCGCACGGGGCTGGCTGCGTGGAGAGCTGGGGGGCCGTTGTGGCCTCTTCCCCGAGTGCCTGGTGCAGGTGAGGCCGGGCCGGAGGTCGGGGAGGGGGTGGGGTGGCTCTCAGCGCGCGCCCCCGGGAGCTGAGAGCCCCACTGCCCGTGCTCTCATTCGTAGGAGATCCCTGAGACTCTCCGCGGCTCGGGGGAGGCGCCGAGACCGCGCTGTGCGCGCCGCCGAGGTGAGAGCCAGGGCGGTGGGCGAGCGCGCGCAGCCCCCAGCCCCACACACCAGGTCTTCCCAGCTCGCCGAGACGGGCGCGGCTCTGGGCGGGACTGCGTGGCCTCTGTGCGGCCCGTGATTGGTTCTCGAGTAGAATGCTCCGCCCTGGGGCGGGGCCTGGAGGTACAAGGGGGCAATCGCGGCCCGCCCCTCCCCCAGCTCCGCGGACTGGGGCTCGAGGCTCCAGCGACCTCACTCTCGTCCGACCCCAGGTCACCCCGTCGAATCTCCGGGCCCCCAAAGATGGTGCAAAGTGAACTTCAGCTACAGCCCGGAGCAGGCGGACGAGCTGAAGCTGCAAGCTGGGGAGATTGTGGAAGTGATAAAGGAGGTGAGGGGATGAGATGATGAGAGGGTTTGGGGGGAGATGATGGAGTATGTCTCCGGATGAGGGGACATGGGTGCAGTGAGGGTGTGGATGATGGGACTGATGAGGAGCACAGAAATGGGAAAGTGGGGGAGCAAGGGAGGAGAGGGGTCATCGGGCAGAATCGGGAGTGGGGGTGAACCAGGGTTTAAGATGCCTAGGGAGCCCATTGGGGCAGAACCAGATGCCCTTTCGTCCTCCCCCCTCCCCAGATTGAGGACGGCTGGTGGCTGGGGAAGAAGAACGGGCAGCTGGGAGCCTTCCCATCCAACTTTGTGGAGTTGCTGGACAGTGGGCCCCCAAGTGAGACCTGGACCCTGTGACCCCGTGACCCCGTGAACCCCTGTGACCAGACTCTACAATCTTCAGTGACTCTTCCCAGTGGCCTGAGCGTGTGATCCACACATCTTGCCCCATCACCCCTTTGACCTCTCCCATGACCTAAACTGAATTAGCACCCGCCCCTAACCTTACTATCCCCCACCAGGCCTTGGAAACCCAGACATGCCTTCAATCAGCCTTGGTCCCCAGCGGGCCCCCAAGGTAAATTGGGTGGAGTGGGCAAAGAGGTGGTGAGTTCCTCTTGGCTGGGAGGGGCGGGGGTGTTGGGGGGCTCAGCTTGTTCCTCCCTCTTCCCCCACTAGCTGAGCAACCTGACCTATGACAGCCCTCCAGACTACCTGCGGACAGGTGAGCACCCAGCCTTCAAATCCTCCTCCCCGAGCCACTGTGACTTGGGGGGAGGGGGGACCCAGCTAGACTCATGGAGGAGGGAGCCAACGAATGGTTTGGGGAGGGGGTTTGGCTTCAGTGAACTGACCTCCCCTCAGTCTCCCACCCTGAGACCTACAGGGTCCTGTTTGACTACCATCCCGAGGCCCCAGACGAGTTGGCGCTGCGGAGGGGGGACGAGGTGAAAGTACTGAGGAAGGTGTGAAAGGCACAGGGCAGGGGAGGGCACAAGGACGGGGGTGTTGAGAAGGGTGGGCTTGGGGAAGGAAGGAGCGTGGGGATCTGGCTCACCTCCCCACGGCATCTTGCTCTCCCAGACCACAGAGGATAAGGGCTGGTGGGAAGGAGAGTCTCAAGGCAGAAGAGGACTTTTCCCAGATAACTTTGTGCTCCCACCACCCCCGGTGAGTACGAAGCCAGGCACTCAGGTGGCAAGGGGCAGGCTACTCTGGACAAAGTTGGGGGTTGTGGCTCTCACGGGACACAGCTGGAGAGCCACCCACAAGTGAGGGTGGACCTAGAAATATGAGGGCTCCTCTTCAGATTCTGACACTTCTTTTCTGCATAGATCAAGAAGCTGGTCCCACGGAAAGTGGTATCCCGGGAATCAGGTGGGTGCCCGGGAAGCCTGGGATTGGGGGGGTGATCTCTGGGAGACGATCCACCAGTCCAGTTGCTTATAAACACCCATAGTTTCCCAGTCGTCCAGTACACCCCCTTAGGAGGTACGTCCCCATGGGACTGGTAGGAATGTATGTGGTCAGTGTTAGGAATGTGTCACTTTGTGTGTGTTAGTATGTTCCTGTTCTTCTCTCCAGAGAATGTGGCTGTCATTCTCATGAATGAATGTGTTTAGGTTTGTTTCATTTTGTAAGGAAATGTATGGATCAGTGTATCTGGGTCTTTGAGACTGTGTGTTCATGTATCTATTAAGTGTGTCAGTGAATAGTTCTGTTTATGCATCACTGTATTCATGGGATGTGTCTTTAATTTATGTTTTAATGTAATATTTCACATAATCAAAAACTATACATTATATATGTGTTTTCAAACTTAATAATGAGTGCCCATGGTCTGTCACCCAAACCCAAGAACTAGAAATTGCTAGTGGTTTATGTGCTCCTCTCTTTCCCTTCTGCTACTCCCCCCACATCAAAGGTAACCCTAACCACTACCCTGAATTTTGAATAATTCCCTTGAGTTTTTAAAGGTACTCACTTTGGTATGTGCCTAATTTATTTTTGTTTATTTTTGAGTTCTATAAAAATGGCATCATATGTTTATGGTCTTCTGGGACTTGCTGTTTCCAATCAACATTATGTTTCTAAGATTCATCCATGTTGTGTGTAGAGGCAGTTCATTTCTTTTTCTCTGCTGTATACTATTCCTTGTGGAACTGAACGCAATTTATGTATCTGGTCTGTTCCTGATGTTGGACATTTTCGTTGTTTCTAGTTTTTATTTTTATTTTATTTTTTAATTCATTTATTGTTGTTTGCTAAAGCCAAGTAAAAAACGGCAATACTAGATGTTTAATATGTTTTAAACACAAACATTTGATAAGACACCAAGTGAAAAATGTACATTTATAAAACAGGGAACAGAAAATCTCCTTTATCTTTCCAATACAAACCAGTAGCCACTGCTGGCGCCAGGTCTGCCTCAAGCCTTCAGTCCCCTGGGAGCTGCTCTCTGGATATGATGTGTGTTTTCAGGGACTTGCCCAGCCTTTGGCAGCAGGACTCGTGTTGCAGGAGCTGAGTAGTAAAGACAAGAGGGGCTAGGAGGGCTGTGATGAGGTTGCAAGGCTGGAACCAGAAGCAGCAGGGCTCTAGTATTTACTATTACAAATAGTGCTGCCATAAGCACTATCATGTGCCTGTCTTCCGGTGTGCAGGTATAATGTTTCTCTAGGATATAGTCCTAGGAGTGGCACTGCTAGAGTGTAGGGTATGTAAATGTTCAGCTTTTATGAGGTCAAGTCACATTGGTTTCCAAAGGGATTGTACACTTTTACCACTACACCACTGGTGTATAAGAGATCAAACTGATCCAAATCCTCTTCAACACTTGGTATTACCAGATTTCATTATTTTTGTGAATCTAGCACAAAATAGCATCTCATTGTGGACTTCATTTGTATTTCCCTGGTTAGTAATAACTGTTGAAGCTCTTTATATATTCTGAATTACGTGTTATACATGTTATAGATACTTTCAGTTTGTGGCTTTTCTTCTTTTTTTTTAAATGAGGTTTTTGATGAATTAGGAGTTCTAAATTAAAAAAAAAATTTGAAGTATAGTTGATTTACAATATTATATTAGTTTCAGGTGTACAACATAGTGATTCAAAATTTTTACAGCTTATACTCCGTTTAAAGTTATTGCAAAGTATTGGCTATATTCCCTGTGCTGTACAATAAATCATTGTATCTTATTTATTTATTTATATATCATTTAAAAAAATTAGATTCCACAAATGAGTGATACCATATGATATTTGTCTCTCTCTGTTTGACTTACTTCATGTAGTGTGATAATCTCTAGGTTCACCCATGTTGCTGCAAATGGCATTATTTCATTCTTTTTATGGCTGAGTAATATTCCGTTGTATATATGTACCACATCTTCTCTGTCTGTTCCTCTGTCGATGGACATTTAGGTTGTCTCCATGTCCTGGCTGTTGTAAATAGTGCTGCAGTGAACATTGGAGTGCAGGTATCTTTTTGTATTATGGTTTTCTCCAGATATATGCCCAGGAGTGGGATTGGTGGAATATATGGTAGTTCTATTTTTAGTTTTTTAAGGAACCTCCATACTGTCCTCCATAGTGGTTGTACCAACTTATATTCCCACCATGTAGCTTATTTATTTGTTTGTTTATTTTTTTAAATTTATTTTTATGTGGGATCCCTGACCAGGGATTGAACCCAGGACCACGGCAGTGAAAGCACCAAGTCCTAACCACTGGACCGCCAGGGAATTCCCATTAATTATTTTACACAGAGTAGTTTGTACCTTTTAATCCCCTCCCCCTATCTTGCCCCACCCCCTTCCCTCTCCCCACAGGTAACCACTAGTTTGTTCTCTATGTCTGTGAGTCTATTTTGTTATATTCATTTGTTTGTTTTGTTTTTTAGATTCTACATATAAGTGATAAGCACATATAAGTGATAACATACAATATTTATCTAGGAGTTAATTTTAATGCAAACATATCAATCTTATCTTTAATAGTTAGCAGGTTTTTTCTTGTTTAAGTAATCCTTCCTGCCCCAAATTCAGAAAAACAGTCCATTTATATTTTCTTTAAAACTTTTAACTTGTTGCTTTTCATTTTTAAATGCTTTTATCTATAGAGCATTGATTTTAATGAGGGATCTAATTATACTTTTTTCCATATGGACAGTCACTTGTTCTAGCACCATTTATTATTTCTGCATGTAGTTTTATTGTGTCATTTAAAAAATTAGATATCCTTTTTATTATTTATTACAGGACTATAGAAATGCACTGATTTTCGTATATTGATTTTATAGCCAGCCATGGTGCTGATAATTTCAGTAATTTATCTGTAAATCCTTAATAGGTTTTCTATGAAGACAGTCATTTAATCTGTGAGTAATGACAGTTTGGCTCTCTCCTTTTCACATCTTATATCTTTTAATTTCATTTTCTTGTTTTACTCTAGTGGCTAGGATCGTAATACAATATTGAATAGAAATAGTGATGCTGAACATCATTACCATGTTCCTGATTTTAAATGGAATGCTTCAAACTTTTTCCCTTTAACAATGATGTTTGCTTAGATCTTTTGTAGGTATATTTTTGTCTGGTTAAGGAAGGTCTTTCTGTTTCTTTTGCTTAGAATTTTTATCAAGAATGGGTGTCAAGGGCTTCCCTGGTGGCGCAGTGGTTGAGAGTCTGCCTGCTGATGCAGGGGACACAGGTTCGTGCCCTGGTCCGGGAAGATCCCACATGCCGCGGAGCGGCTGGGCCTGTGAGCCATGGCCGCTGAGCCTGCGCACCACGTCCGGAGCCTGTGCTCCGCAAGGGGAGAGGCCACAACAGTGAGAGGGCCGCGTACCGCAAAAAGAAACAGCAACAACAACAACAATGGGTGTCGAATTTTCTCAAATTGTTTATATGAATCTTTTGAAATTATTATATAGGTTTTCTTCTTTAATCTGTCAATGTAATAAAGATATTTGTAGAATTTTCTAATATTAAGCCACCCTTGTATTCCTGGGATAAATTCAAATTGGTCATGGTTTATTATTTTTTTCATATACTGTTGAGATACCTTCCCAGTTTTTTTTCTTTTCCTTCAGATTTTTACATTTGTTGTTTTTGTTTTGTTTTGTTTTGTTTTGCGGTACGCGGGCCTCTCACTGTTGTGGCCTCTCCCGTTGCGGAGCACAGGCTCCGGACGTGCAGGCGCAGCGGCCATGGCTCACGGGCCCAGCTGCTCTGCGGCATGTGGGATCT